CCCGGTCTAATCCTCATTGACCAGTCCTCTCAATATTTTTATTTTACATGTCCTCCTCTTCTTCCCTTCTTCCATGCCTGCTATCCACACATTCATCTTTTCTAATCAATTCATCAGGTTGCAGCACGGGGGGCGCCGATCTCCATTTTACCCGGCCCCGACTCGGTTCCAATTCATCAGTTTCATGCAGGATCATATTTAGTCGACACGGTCCTTCCACAACCAGGTCGCACCACCACTTCAATCCTACAACTCCACACAAACAGGGAGGCACAGTATATGACACAGCCCCAAATAATACCATACACCAATCATTCCCTACTCATTCATAATACAATCCCCCAGTTTCAATTCTAAATTCGCCAAACAAATTATGCATAAGTATCCACGATTATAGTGATTTCATAACATAATATATTTGAGAAATACAATATGTAAATACCTATAAAAATGTGAGATGTTATGCATAATGCGCAGTGTTGCATGGCACCTTATTAATTTACTCTATTCTCACTTAGTGAAGAGAGCGATTAATTAGCTTGATGTTGTCTTGGAGGAGCCATGGACTGCGCACCCCGGCGATCTAAAGAAAGGAAGAAACGACACCAAAAGAAGAAATTAATTCTTATCAACAATTTTCTTTTACCATTCTAAGAATTCTTTATTTTATATTCCTAAATTTTTCTACGTAAATAAATTCTCGATATTTATTTATTTTCTGTACTAAAATTTTATTTTTCTAATCTAACTTCTATTTTATTTGTTTTCGGTCTGCAATTGTGTTTTTTATTTCTACCGGGAAATTTCGGCAGCATCTCCCTAAAAATTGGAACTATCCAACCTGTTAAATTATCAACAATGTATTTAATATGCTCCAAATCACACAGCCCATGCCATCGGGCAAATCAATCAAATTAATTTTTCCATCCTCCCTCATTTAATTTTCTCCATCCTCCAATTTATCTCACAACAACTATATTAATTTTTCTTTAATTCCATAATCATAATTTTCCCAACAATTTTATTTACTACAGAATTTAATTTTAATTAATCAAATATTTTTTATTAAATCGACTCATCAACACTAAATTAAATTAATTCACTAATCAAATTTGCTAAATTAATTAACTAAATCCAGATTACTAAAATTAAATTTAATTAACTAAAATTACTAAGTTAAATTAATAGACCAAATTACTAAAATAAATTCTGAGAATTAGCAAGAATTGGCTCTATACCCCAAAGTAATAATTTTTTTGTTGAATTTTTGCCTAGATGGAAAGGCTTACGCGTGCTAGAATCGGAGCCTACGCGCATCAAGGACTGCGAGCAAGTGGCGCGATCTATGGACAGCAGGATGGTGCGCATTGACTCGAGGAGCTGTGGGCTGCGATCTGGCTGAGGATGAAGCGCTGCTGCAGGTGGGAAGCCCGCTGGCTGTGGGCGCGCGAAGGAGCGGCGAAGGCGGGTGCTGTGCGCGATGGAGGCGGTGCGGACTGCAACTGCGCGCGGTGGTGATCGGCTGACCGTTGGCTGGAGGCTGCTGGAGTTGCTGGGCAGTGACGCAGACGCAGTTGCAGGGAAGAAGAAAGGGAAAGAAAGAAAGAAAAAGAAAGAAAGAAAGAAAAATAAAAGAAGAAGAAGAACGAAGAAAGAAGAAAGGGAGGAGGAGACGCGGTGGCTGTGTTGGGTGGAGTGGAGGTGGGGCGTGGTGAGGGTGAGAAGTAGAGGTGGCAGCGCTGGAGGATAAAAGGAAAAGAAAGCAGATGTTTTCTAGACTGTTTTGGGTCGAACCGGTTTCGATTCCGACCCAATCTTGTGAGTTTTTCAATTTTGGTTTTTCGGCTTTTTCCCAATCGGTTTTCTGTTCGATTTCTCCCAGTGTTCGCATTAAAATATTAAATAAATTTCCAAGCTGTCGTTTATTAAATTTAATTTGGAAAATCTTTGAAAATAAAAATTCGAGTTGTTTTCAGTTTTGGTGTTGTAATGGAAACTAAACCTTGCTTCCATTTTATAGCAAATCACTACTTCACTTTTGCTTATCTCCCCGATGTTGGGAGTTTAAGCAAAAACTAATTTTTTTTATATTTTTTTTTTCTTTTGTTTTCAACAACAGCGGCTAAAAAGAATAACTTAAGTATAATTTCAATTAAACCCTAACTTAAAATTTTCGTTTATTAAAAAATCCAAGAGACTTACTCTAAATCCCTAATATAAAAAGCACTCAAGTGTTTTTGGTGTGTTTTGGTGTGTCTGAAAACCTAAACATTGCTTCCATTTTATAGCCAAATTACTACCTTCACTTTGCTTATCTCCCCGATGTGGGATTAAGCAAAAACTAATTTTTTTTATATTTTTTTTTCTTTTGTTTTCAACAACAGCGGCTAACAAGATTAACTTAAGTATAATTTCAATAAACCCTAACTAAAATTTCGTGTTTAAAAAATGGCAAAACAAAAACTTAAACTAATATTCTATATTTATAATTAACTAAAATTTATTATTTTACTCAACCTTTTGTAAATTTAAATTTCTAATCAATATTAGTTAGGGTGTTGTTAAACGGTGAGTTTTTTTGTTAACCTAACCATAAAAAAAGAGTATGGTACAATGAAAATAATATTTTATTTATTAAATCGGATACAATTTGAAATTAGGATGCTATGTAAATAAAGTTGAATTTCAAAGTATTAGGAGAAAAAAATTGAATTATAGTACAATTAAACTATCGGTAAAGTTTGAGATTCTTTTAATGATTTAGCCTAAAATTTGGTTTAGTTATATTCAAATTTATAAAATTGAATTCTTCATTTTTTTTATATCAAACACAAAAATTTGGATTTATAAATAAATTCCATAAAATTTTATGAAATTCATTTATTCCAAATAAATACAATCTTGCATATATATTTTTATTATTAGTTGCTGGTCCTAATCTTAAACGAATGCATTAGAAATGAAGGAGAGAGAAAATTAACTGAGGGAAAAATTATCATATGAATAATAGTTATTATTTTTCACTATAAAAATATGAAAAACACCAATTTACCCTTTTGATTGAGATCAACTTGATCTAAAAACCCTTTTTTGATATTCAAATTTAATATGGATGAGCATTAAAGCTAAGGGTTTATTTGATAATTATAATAAAATACAATGCAATGTAATCAAATAGAACAATTTTTTTTAAAAAAAAAACCTTAATTTTACGCTTTAAATTGAGACTTTTAAAACCTCATTGGCTTATAATTTATATATATCTTTAGAAAATGACAAGTAGGATTGCTTAAATTTGGTATGCCGAATTTGACAAGTTAGATAGTGCCACGTAGGATTCCTTATTTATTTAAAAAATTCATTAAAAATTGAATGATATATTAATTGTTTTCTTTGATAACTTTTTCAATGAAATTAATTTGTAACTAAATACTATAAAAGACTTGTAAACAACCATATATGTGCACCATTATTATATTTATTCATTCAAAAATTGAAATCATGCTAATTCAAATTATTTTCTTTTAATAACTTATTTAATGAAGTTAATTTGTAACTAGATGGTTAAAGAAAACTATTCAAAAGCTTTAAAAAGTATATATGTGCATCAATATTATCCCTAATCATTCAAAAATTTAAATGATGGTACATAAATAGTTTTCTTTTAAAAACTATTTAATGAAAGTAACTTATGACTAAATGGAAAAAAAAAAACTGCTCAATAAATTTCAATTTCAAATAATAAAAGATTCAGTAATTATTTAACTAAATAAATTAATGATGCCCAAAAATTCAAATGATGTTGTATTATTTGTTTTCTTTTAAAAACTTAATTAATGGAATGAACAAGTTCAATCAAAAAAGAAAAATAATTTAAAAGAAGCAACGAGTAGCCATTTTTGTTATTTTTGTACTAATAATTTTATATATTGTAATTTAAAAGAAAATCAAATTTAAATTAAAAAGAATTATTTACTACAACGTTGAATAGTATGAATGTACTTTTTGAATAACATGGATATACATCTATTATATCGTATTTGTTACAGTTTTTAGACTGTGTTTGACAGTAACTTTTAAAATAGTTTTTAATCAAAATATTAAGATAATATTTTATAAAAAGTTAACTCGCGTAACATGTAAAAAAGCTAATCAAATAGTTAATAGCTATCAAAGCAGCTAATTTTGCGGAATAAACCGTTAATGTAATTATTCAATATGAATATTGGAAATTGTCATTTGTCACGTGAGAGAAATATTGAGCAAAAGAAAACAGCTATTAGAAATATGAAATAAGACAAAACAAAGTTTCCCATCAAGCAAAGACATATTCAATCTTTTGAAATTATAGAATAATTTTTGTGACAATTACATGCCACCATCACATGCTAGACTAGAAACTTGATTACCATAATGCGTCCACTAGAAATGCCTTGTAATCATATAATGCCCGATTATGAAGTCAACCAAATTAAAACATCAAAGCCTCACCCCACCTGCCATTAGGCCAACTGCCTGATAATGTTTAGCCAGATACTCACTTAATCAAACCAAATTAGCTCGGTCTCAGTTTATTTAAATACATTTTATGGTATTCAAATCTGAAATCAAATATAATAATCAATCTAAAAGAATTAAATGGTTTGTGTTCAGTTAATACAAACCAAATAAGCTATCTTAGGCTTAAAAGCAAAATCGGTTAATTATATGTGATAATTGAACTAAAAATTGAATATCAAACGGTTTTATATACTCAAACCTATTGGTAACCGAATTTTCAAAATAAATATTCAAATCCGACTGAAATGAGTCGGTGTTTGGCTTCCAATAGCTATGGAGTCCTTACGGTAGCAGCATTTCACATGACCCGTACGTAAGCAGCACGCTTGAAGAAGCCACAAAATACTTCCATCCACCATAGAAGTTGGAGCAGGCCTGGGAAATTAGTTGGCCATATATGAATATGAGGTTGAAGGCCATGTGAAATTCACACGTCCCAGGTTATTAGGCTAAGACATGAAAGCATATAAACAACAAACGATAATCAGAAGCGGGAGAAAGAAAAACCCATGAAAAAAAAGCAATAACCTTTGTTCTCAAATCTGCAAATGGATTGTAGAGAGAGACAGGAGAAATATCAACTGATTTCACACGTTTGGTATTTGCAAGTGAACCCTAAACTAGCAGAGCTACAACTTTTATGTAACTATTGGTAGAATTTCAAATGAATTTTTTACCTAATACATAGGAAACCAAACGTGGATTCGTTTGCAAATTTAAAATAAATTATATTTTTGTTGGTTCAAGCAAAAGATCGATACTATGTTTTTCAATGCAGTTACAAAATTGCCTTCACTTTTTGTCGATGCAAATGCCGTTTTTAGAGTCCAAATGGTGCAAAATAATCTGTCATCAAACTTGCCATACATCAACAGTAACAAAGACATTCCCCATGGCATGGCTCACAACACAATAATGGCCTAAAATGGGTATACCAATTCAATAGAAATTCTATGTTTGTGAAATTTGTCTGAACACCCTTGTCAAAAAACTAGCAAATTGTTCAGTTACCTGCCACAATACAAGATTTTCAGTCATAACCTTAGTTGCCCAAAGAGAGGGGAAGGGATAGAGAGATGCTGCACAATATCTGAAAAAGTCACAATTTTCTACACTCTTTAACATTTTGCTTTAGAATAACTGGGAATACCATTTTAAATCAAATTCTGGTTGAAGATCAAGAAGAAGAAGAAGAAAATTAGACATGTTTAAGCCATAAGCACCTATAAGGCTGCAACATTACAGGAAGAATCCATAGCACATTGATGCTTCCAACTTATCCATTCATTGGAAAAGGAAAGGCTCCATCTATAATCATTCTGCAAATGACCATAATCTCAGCATCAAATATGTGGTCAAAGTTTTGTATGTGAGATGAACAAATAAAAAGTAAAACTGAGAAAATAGTAGTTTTCACTCAAAAAAAAAAACTTTGCAAATAAAGGATTTTCAAACTTCTAATGCATCAGTAGGCAATATGACATTCCACATACTATATCATAGTAACAAAACCACATAACAGCAACTTACCAGATCCGCAAGAAAATCTCCTACTTCTCCAGTTCCCACCCTCCCAATCTCATTTCAGGGTCATAATTTGTGAATAGTCTGAACTCGTTCCCAAGCTTGCTAGAATGTTGAGGCCTAAAACCACATGGATGCAAACCTAAGAGCTCTGCAGCCCTATCTTTCTGCACCTCCCCTACCAGTGTTGGAAGCACAATCCATTAGACAATACAACCCCCTTGGGAAAATGCTACATATCTGGTTTTATATAACTCTCCAAGTTAATAGAAAAAATAACTTGTTTTAATAAGTTAGATTGGGCCAGTATAGTCTGCCCAGATCTGCAAATGAGCAAGAACTGCAGTATTGGAAGCTACTACAATTTAACTGGGGAAAAAAGACTGGGCGGATTATGTACCTGTGAGTAGAAGCAAATGGGATTTTCCAGGTCTTGCAAGAAAAGAAATTGTTTGAGAAACCTTTTCCAAACACTCCTTACTCTGCCACCATAAATATCAACTAAATTAGTTAATGTCCATGTCATATGAATATTTGAATAGTTTGCAGGTTACTCGCTCAATGAATGAAATGCAATATTGCGCCATGGTTTCACAGGAAAAAAGAAACAGCTCCCATGAATAAACATCTGGAAATGAGTCAATAGATGATTGAATTCACTTAAAATCTCAAACCCATTTCACAACATGTGATTCAAATAAAAAACCTCACTTCATTTAGGGTATTACCTAGCATAAGAGCCTCTAGAAGTAAGCAAGGCCCATGATATCACTATTTTATTTATGGTATTGATATCCAATAAATAGCAGATGTCAACAACATAAAAGTTTTGAAATTAAGAAGGGATTACAAATCAAAATTGAAATAATTAGAGACGAATTTTGTTCACAAAATACGAAGCAAAAACTACATAATCTCTAGGTCATCTAGCTGAAGAAAGGACATCTAATACTACCCCCCAAAGACTTTATACCAAAAATTACTTATACAATAAACAAGTAACCTATTTAGACATTCTGCATTGAGGTTGAAATTACTTTTCTGAAGAAACATCATTTTAGACACAGTTGGATAAATAAGTTTGAAATTGTTGCTCCACCTTAAAAACAAACTTTAGAGACTTCCAATCAACATTTTCAACATAGTGCTTTTCTTAACAGTAACTCAGACAAGAATATCCAACAAACCCATAGACTACACGAAACTCCATCCCCTTTAATAAAATCCTCAAACAAGACAAATCGAATGAAAATCCTTAACATTTTCAGGTAGCCAAAAAAAAAACATCTAAAAACAAGACATTCCACATGATTCAATCAACTATGAGAAAGAATCTTATTGCTTGAAAGAAATGATTAAGCTACTACGAACAATGACAAACCAGATAAGGAGGATCGGCAACTACAACTTGGAAAGCCTGTTTCAACTCATTAGGCAAGTCTTCAGGTTGATTATAATCATAAAAGGTGAAATCACTTCCATATTGCTCAAATCTTTTATCATATTCCAGCAATTGCACAGAAGCATTTGGTTCAATTTTCTGATGGAAAGACAAAAACCACCAATAGATCCAAAAATGTCACAAAATTAAGAGAAATGAAATTGAAACTGTATTTTAAAGAATTCAATTCTTATTTAACAAGTTATAACCTTGATATAGGCATAGAGAGTAGGGCAAGCGATGCAAGCGGCACGACAATTGGAATTGGTGCCGTTCGTTAGTAACGCAATAACCTCTTTGGCTACGGTTTCTGCAGTTAAAGGATCATACCAAAACTGGCTAAGCCTCCAATCCTCTGCTACTAAGGCCACTTGCTCTCCAGTTTCTCCTCCCACAGTATCTTCACTGCGCTCGTCAACATCGAACTGGTTCTGTTCTTCAAGAAACTCTGTTAGAGCAGCTAAAGCATACGAGCTCAGCATTGGCGGGTCATCATCATTGTCCTCGTTCAAAACGCAGTCGTTTCTTTGTCTCCCGAGCTCTTCTTCCATATTCCTGGAACTCACCTCACAATTCTTGCCGGCGGAGAGTAGACTGTATGGGCTGTTCTAAAACCGGTCAATTGCCAATTTGTCCTCCGTAATTTCGAAAATAGTCCAATTGAGTCTGAAAGATACTTTTTGACTCAATTAGACCTTGATCTTTTTTGTTTTCGGTCAATTAAGCCCTTCTTTTTTTTTTTGAATATTAGGGAGGAAGATTCGAACCCGAATCTATTATCGGATCGTATATGCACTTACCACTGGATTGTATATTGGTGTAAAATTAAATCCAAATTTTATTAAAAAAATAAAAAAATAATTTTAAAATAATAAAGCCTATCAATTATATTTCAATATTATAGCACCGATGCCATTCTGTCATGATAGTATATGAAATCTATTATTAATGGAATATTGGAACTTGAATATTGAGATGATGCTTAGGATATAAGAGTATTAAAAAATATATATACTCTACTTTTGGATTCATGAGTTTTTGATATTTAAGCATAAGTAATTTATAGTTAAGTCATATTTAAATATGTTAAGATTTGTGATTCTGGTACAAAATGTGGCATATGTTGCCTAATTTTTTGGATCGAGGCTTAGAAATATCATTAGAATCAAGGTATTCATAGTTTGATTTGGTTCGATTTAAAGATTTTATATAAAAATTAATAATGGCACCTTATAAAAAATTTAAACCAGATCAAAGCATGAAAGATACTCAAACTAATATGATTAATTAATAGTTTGAAATCAAGTTGAAGAGTTCTTTAAAAAAAAAACAAGTTGAAGAGTGTTCGTTATTATTATAAAAATAAAAATATATTCATATTTTAAATCCTTTAAATCCTTTATTGACTTGTTGCTATGTGTGAGATATAAATAAAATTTTAAGTGAAAGAACTTAAATTACTTAAAATATTATATGACTTATTAAAAAGAAAAATAATTTGATTAATCTAAATTCACATAAAAATAATACATTTATCAACCCAAATTAGTTGGTTTTATTATTTTTTGATTTGATTTTGAACTGATTTATATTAAAAAAAAAATGTCCATACCAAACATTACACTGTTACAGGCCCATATGTATTTGTGTTCTCTTCAAATGTGGCTTATCGCAAATTTGGAACCTTCCAATTAGGGGATAAACTTCAAACCGGTAATTGTCAAATTTTGCAGGAGGCCTTGTTTGTTAACCCCTCTTTAAACCCTCTATCAGTAAACACATTCAAGCTACTTTCTTTCCCCTCCCCTCCCTTTTTCTCTTAAAAATGGAGCCATTGTTTAAAGAAATGAAATTTGGTAGATTGAGTAGTGTATTCTACACTGTTACTCGTTTGGGTTCTCGAAATTTGTTGGGTTCTTCGTTTTACTCGACAAAACGTACGACTGACCAGGAACCTAGAAGACCAGGGGAATACAAATTGAACCAGTTGTACCGTCGGATTTCACCTGTCGGTGATTCGAAAGTCTCAATTGTTCCGATTCTTGATCAGTGGATCGAAGAAGGACGATCTGTAAATAGAGATCAACTCCGTGTCTTCGTCAGGGAACTCCGTTCCTACAACCGTTACTCTCACGCTCTTGAGGTACTAAATTCAATCATTGTTTAGCTGATTGTACATTTTGTTGCTTATTTATTGCAGAATTTAATAATGATGTAATGGACAATTTAGTTGATTGATTTAATTTTCATTTCATTTGAAAGAAAGATTTCTCTTTTAGGTTTCCATTTATTGCTATTTTTTATGATAGGTTTCAATTTTGTATCTATAACTATAAGTCTCCTGGTTTCTGTTAAAGAAATTGTTTTATGTCTGATATTTTGTATCAATTTTGCATAAAGGTTGATAATATGTCTGATATTTTCTTCTTAACACAGCCTCTTGATTAGTTTATGTATATCTCATTATCTTCCTCTAGATTTTGATGTGGATGGCTGACAAAAGATACATCCCACTTACTTCAATTGACATTGCTCTCCGTCTGGACTTGATTTCAAAAGTGTATGGAATAGAAGAAGCTGAGAAATATTTTAATAATATTCCGCAAAAATTTAAAGTCCTAAAGGTTTATGGTGCTCTTCTCAATTGTTATGCTCGTGCAGAATCTATTGAAAAGGCAGAGGCAGTGATGCAAAAGATGAGGGATTTGGGTTTTTGTTCTAGGATGTCATTGACTTACAATACCATCCTTAATCTTTATTATCGGACTGGAAATTTCGAGAAACTTGATGCCTTGGTGCATGAGATGGAAGAATATGGCATTTCTCATGATAAATTCACAACTGGCATACGACTAAGTGCCTATGCAGCTGTTTCTGATATAGAAGGAATGGAAAAGATTATTACAGAGATGGAATCTGGTACCAAGATTGCTTTCGACTGGAGTAGTTATTCTGCTGCAGCAACTGGGTATAGGAAAGCAGGACTTCTGGACAAGGCATTGGAAATGCTGAAGAAATCTGAGAGACTTATTACTAGCGAAAGAAGGAATACAACATATGAAATCCTTATCACACAATATGCAGCAATAGGGAAGAAAGACGAAGTTTTAAGGATCTGGGAACTTTACAAGAAGAACAAAAAGGTTTACAATAAGGGATATGTTAGTGTCATTAATTCTGTCTTGAGGTTTGATGACATTGAAACTGCAGAAAAGATTTTTGAGGAGTGGGAATGCCTGAATCTAGTTTATGATATCCGAATTCCCAACTTCTTGGTCCGCACTTATTCAAGAAAAGGTCTTCTGTGCTGAAATTCTTATCAACAAGGTAGTATCAAAAGGGGGGAAACCTAATGCATTGACATGGTATTATTTGGCAACAGGGTATCTTCAGAATGATGAAACTCCTAAAGCTGTGGAAATGATGAAGAAAGCAATAGTGGTTTCGCAACCCAATTGGAAGCCGAGCAGCGAGAGTTTGGCTTCCTGTTTGGAGTACTTGAAAGGGGAGGGAGATTTTGAGAAAGTGAAAGAATTCACATCATTACTTGTGGATAATGTTATTATTTCTAAAGATATTCAAGAGAGATTGTTGAATCATATGGAAGCTAAGAAGTCCAACTCTGATATACTCAGTGTATTGAATGATGTATTTTTGGTTCAAGAGGAAAATACATCATATCAGAGGAAAAATGTTGAATGCGAATCTGAAAAGTTTATTTAGTGATAGCGGGAAAAAAAGTGCTAAAAGAACTTTAATCCTATTCTGAACTAGATGTATCAGCAGCATATGACAAATGAACTGTGCTGGTGTAAGTCGCCATTAATCACCACTTAATTAAGAACAATCTCTTGTGAACGTTTCTGACCTTTCCATAATTGTAGATATATACGTCTATATATTTATAATTTTTTTTTTTTTTTCAGCTGGATTTGCTAGGTGGGGAGTAAATTTGTAATTGATATTACATGTTTGAACTTTATATGTAAATGTACATTTATTAAAACATATTTATTAGGTCATATTGTGAAATTATGAATAGCTAGAGCGCCTTTTAAATAAATGATGACTTATGAAATGAAATTTAATTAATATGTGTGATATTTTACTCACGTTTATCTCGATGTAAAATCATGTTTTAACATTAATAAAATTTGAAGAATGTAAACAAATATAAGTAATATAAAATATAATAAAAAATAATGGACTATAAATAAGCAATTACAATGCGCAACTTCTTTTGCATCTCTATTCATTACTAATTAGTTCTTATCGCTTTTAAGCATAGCATAGTCACGTCGATGATCAAAACTAAGTTTGAATGGAGGCAAAATTAAGGGTTTCAGGGCGTGTTTGGGAAACAGGTTAGTATAGTACTGGTTTGAATTTTGAACCGGTTTAAAGAAGAGCCCATACCCAAACATTACAAACAAGCCCATTATGTTTGCAATCCCTTTCTCGGAACCTTAAACAGTAAAAACGTTGAGGCTATCTCTTTCCCCACCCATTTTCTCTAATATCTGGAAATTTTGTTGATGATACTGTTAAAAGAAATGAAATTTGGTAGATTGAGAAGTTTATTCTACACTATTACTTGTCTGGGATTTCGAAATGCGTCGGGTTCTTCCTTTTACTCGACAAAAACCACCACAACCCAAAAATTTAGACTACCAGGGGAAGACAATTTGCAGCAGCTCTACAGTCGGATTTCGCCGGTCGGTGATCCTAATGTCTCCATTGTTCCGATTCTTGACCAGTGGATCGAAGAAGGACGATCTGTAAATAAAGGTCAACTCCTTGTCTTCATCAGGAAACTCCGGTACTACAATCGTTAATCTCATGCTCTTGAGGTACTAAATTCCATTATATTATATACATATATATATATAGCTGATAGTGCAGACTTTTCTACAGAACCAATCATTATAGTATAATTTAGTTGGATTTACTTTTAAATATATATATATATATAGCTGATTATTTGTTGCAGATTTTTACAACAATATTATATATAATTTAGTTGGATTTATTTAATTTTCATTTCATGTGAAACAAAAGATTTCTCTTTTTGGTTTCCCTTAGTTGCCATTTTTGATGATAGAATCTTTTCACTATTTTTGGATTGATGGAATATAGGAGAGGAAAGAATGAAAATTTTCTTTCCTTCACTTGTTTGGGAATGAAGAAATTCTGGGACGATGGAAAATATAGAGTAAAAGTAAATCATAGGACCTACATTTCATTTTCTCTCCAATTTTTGGAAAGTTGGAAGAAAATGATTGAAATTACAATTTTACTCCTATTTATTGTACTTTGTTAAAAAAAACTAAAGGTTAAACTCATAATTTTACTGGTTATAAAATAATTTCCCTCCTCATTTTCCTCACAAATATCCAACATGAAGAGAAAGATTCTTTTATATTTTCCCTATTTATTTTCCTTTCATATTTTCTTTCCTCCCTAAATTGTTATCCAAACACACTATATAAGAGTTTTTTTTTTCTTGTTTATATTTCCAAATAGAAGATGTGAAACTTTCATATTCTGAATAACATAAACATGTCCGGTATTTGGTTCTTAACGCGTTCCTGATCAGTGTATTTATATCTCATTATGTTGCTC